CAGACAAACCATCAATTCTGACTGCTACTTTGCAAAGCTGAAGGCTCTGAATTCCATAGTCAGGACAGAGAAGATGACAACCTTTCTTTTGCACTAAGATAACAATAAGATAACACCAGGCCCCATACCATTCTGAAGACATTGGAGCACATTTCCAATTTTGGCTGGACTGTCTGTCCTACAACACTCATCGTATAATCAGGATTTGGTGCCTTCTGACTTCCATCTGTGCAGGTCAGTACAGATGGACTGCATCAGCAACATTTTCCTAGCAACAACATCATCATAGCTGCTGTGAAACAGTGGGTCATTTCTGCTGATGCAGATTTTTATAAGCATGGCATATAGGCTCTTGTTTATCACTGGTGAAAACTCACAGCCAATGGTGGTGACAGTGTTGAAAAATATTTTGTAGCTGAAAATTTGTGTTACCAAATAGTGCTATTGTGCTCACTGTTGTAGTTTGCATGGAAATAAATAGGAGGCAGTATTTTGGAAGTGACTTATGTATATAAAGGACCTTGCTCTGATAATGCTAGAAAATCATGAAGGTCATCCTCATTATCTTATCCAGTTGCTGTAAGTGACAATTTTTTGATGATACAATAAATCTTAAACTGAAACAGAAATTATAAATCTTTTATTTCAGGATTTCTTTCTGAATGCTCACTATTTCCCAAGGCTAATCTAAAACAAACAAAAACTTACATGTAATTTGGCATTGCAGATGGCATGATTAGTAAATGAGGCAGTACAAAACAGTAGACATATCCTGTTCATGTCTTCAATACCTAATTCTAACCAAAGCATTTGCAATTTGTTGTCAACTTCAATGTAATTTTTAGGAGGCTAGGTGCTTGTTGGTAGGGGATTTTTTTGCCATCATCAAATATCAGCCACTGGAACCTGAGAATATATTTTTAGACAATGTTGCTTAATATCCTCTGATTTACTCCCAACATTCATACACAAAGTTAGAACTACCTCATTTTCTTTAGACTGTTATTTTCTGGAAGGTCACTGTAATTGCCTTTCCTTGGTTTGTAGCATCGATTACGGTTTTCCATTCCTAGTTTAAGCAAATATTTATAATTCTGATAGAGACATTAACAGCTGCACAATAACCCCCCAAGACATGCATTTTTTTTTAACCAGCATGCTTATCAAAACCTGCCCCATTCTCTTAAGGAATGCTTTAACCCGTTCCTATTTTCCAGAGCATGAAGCAGTTTCTGTAAGGGCACAAGGACAGAAGGCTGATGAAGACGCTCAGCTTTCTGCTGCCAGTCATCTCTCTGCCTGATATCTGGAAAGTGAGATGCTTCTGACAGCTGCTGGGGCAGTAGCATTACAACACAGCAAACTGAAATTGTGCTGAGCCCTGCAGCTGACAGGGAGGCTGTCATGATTTGAAGAGTTAATCACATGACACATCCCTCTTCCCTTGGGAGAAAGGGAGGGGGGTGGAAGGAAGAGGGGAAAAAAAACAACTGAGACAGGAGAAACTAATTTATTAAAAGGAATGTGAGATAATACAGAATAATTCAGACCAATATATCAAAACAAACCAAAAATAAAGCCAGAGGAGAGTCAGTCTGAGACTTTATCAGCAAGCCCTCCACGGTTCACTTCCTAGAAGAGGCATGAGAACCCTTCACCCAACACGCAGAATAGGAAATCATGTGGAGGCTCCTAGGAAATGCAGTACTTCCCAGAGTATCTTCCTCTTAGAGAGTCAGAACTCATGTGAGAAACCAGCAAACACAGTTTTGCAGTGCACTGTGTTTTTGCACCCAAACAGCCTGTGTCATGTTATAATATGGAATACTGATAGAACAAGAACAGAGGCTCCTCACTATGATCTCAGCTGCACACATGCCAAGCATGACAGCCAGCTGATGTTGGCGGCATCCCCACCCCCAACCCCCTCAACTCATCCTCCTCAATGGGAGGAAGAAAGTGCTGTCACCCCAGTGACTCTAGCTCAGCTACACAAAAGTCCTCCTATCTCTTCACCAGAGATAGCTGTTATGTAGGACCCATCCACATACCAGCTCCAAAATATTGGACTGGTCAGCAGCTCCCACCACCACCTCCACACCCCAGGTTCTCCTCAGCAGCAGCTACCTCACTGCCCAGAACATCTCCCATGAATACAAATGTGCTCTTCCAGTTGCATTGCAAAGGTCACAAAATCTGACTTTAAATTGTTTTTTTTTTTAAAAAAAACAACCTTATAGAACCTCCAGTTCATACTGCTTCAGGTGTTTGACATCTTCTGGTAATACACAAAGGCAGTTTGCTAGCTCTGGACCTCCGGCAGGGGCTGCCTGAGACATTCAGGAGCCTCAGCATTGACAGAGATGGGATTTTGCTGTTCTGTTAGCATGCCTGTACTTTAATAACATTTTGTATTACTTCTCAAGTGAGTCTCAAGTTCAGGACAGGTCACATCTTGTTTAACATACACTGAGACTAGAAAAAATAAATTCTTAAATATAATTTTCTTTTCCATTCTAAATTAAGATCTGTTTTTAAAATACGCTCATCAGTCATTTGATATGATATTGTTCCAGACCATTTAATCTGTATAATTCCTTTAGAAAACAACATTTCTGAATGCTTAACTAAACATTCCTGGAGCAAGAATTCATTCTGCATTTTACCCTTTCAGCCTCAGAAATCAACTACCTTTGTTGCATGTGTGTTTTGTTTTGTTTGGCTCATTGTTTCATAGAGATCAAAAAATGGATCTCTACTGTAAAAATAAGCTCTGTTTGGGTTTAAAGGAAATAAAGGGAGGATAGGGGACCATATCATTGTATATGAATTGTATCTAATGTCTTTATTAAGTGTGCTTCAGATGCTTTGCATTAAAACTTAATTTAAAGAAAGCTGAATGAGCGCCAAAATCAACTCCATTGTTGGATAAATGGAATCGCTACACTCAGGTTCTGATTTATTCTGACATAAAATTGCTTGCCTGCAATTAAAGGTTCATTATTCTACCCAAAGACATAAGTAAACACTGCTCATAGGGATTTAAATCACCATCATGTTTTGTATAAATCCTATGATCAATTTTTATTCACCTAGTTTTATGCTTCTAACAGTCATCACAAATTCATATTAATATTGATAGTTGCTACAGGCATACATCAAATATTTTCTTTTTGTCTCATTCCAATATCAGCCTGAATTTAGTTACAGCCCGCTTATCTTCCTCAATCTGTTGCACCATCTTCTTATTGCACGTTTCTACATTTGTATACCCACCTCACCTTTCCTTTGTCCACCAAGTGATGCTATCATCTCTTTCTTACTAACATACGTTCACAGGAGAAAAAAAAAAAAAAACAAAAAAAAAAAAACACAGGAGAGCTACAAGGAAGGGCTCAGAAGAGAAAAAAAAGTAATGAAAGATTCCCAAAGAAAAGCACAGACTGATTTTCCAACTGTAAGGGTGATGGAAGTTTTTCACTCCAAGGGTGGTGACGCACTGGAACAGGTTGCCCAAGGAGGTTGTGGATGCCCCATCCCTGGAGGCATTCAAGGCCAGGCTGGATGTGGCTCTGGGCAGCCTGGTCTGGTAGTTGGCAACCTGCACATAGCAGGGGGTTGAAACTGGATGATCACTGTGGTGCTTTTCAATCCAGGCCATTCTATGATTCTATGATTCTATGATAAGGGTGCTGGAGCACATTAGCTCAGAATGCCGCAACAATGCCTTATCTGCTTCTGCTGCATTACCACATACCAGCAGCCTCAGAAAACTTCCTCTTTCTAAAAATTTCCATTTGGGCTCCTGGAAAGTTAGAGCAAAACAAAGTGGTAGCTTTTTGCCTGGACTGAGCGTAAAAAAAATCACACTTTCCCAAAAATGAATTAATTTTGAAGCACCAAAAGATGCAAATTTTTCATATTGGCTAATTTTGGTGTGATTTTTAAAGGGCAAAATAAGAAAGGTGACTTAGAAACAATACTTAATCAAATGAGCAAAGTGTAATAGCTGTTTACCCAAGAGGCAGAAAATGTCAAAGGTTGCATGCCTAATCTTAATTCACTGAATCTTTTTTCCAACTGCAGCTATTGCTTATTCGGTCAAAATTAATGATTTTGTTCCCTACCTCATGTTTGCTCAGCAAACTGTGCACAATGGAAGACTGTTCAGAGTTGGCCACCTCTAACTGCCTGGAGCAATTGCCAAGATTTGCCTGTGCGACGGGTCATTTAATTTACCAATATCTCAGTCAATTAATACAGCAATAGAACGTAGGAAATTATGGAACAAAAGGTACTAATATATATGGAGAGGAGAGGAGAGGG